ATAGGCCACAAAACAAGCCTTGATGAATTTAAAACAATTAAATTATACACATTATGCTCTCTGAACAACAAATAGAATCTGGGAAACATACAAATAAACATATTTCTAGATAACCTATGGGTCAAAGAAAAACTTACAAGTGAAATTAGAAAATATTTTGTCCTGATTGAATATGAAAACTCAAAAGATACAGAAATGCATGAGATACAGCAGAAATAATACTTGGAGGAAATTATGTCGCATTTAATGTTTTTAATATAAGATTTCAAAACAATAAGCTAAGCTCTGTTAAGAAGTGGGAAAAAAGAGCACATTAAACCCAAATGAAGCAAAAAGAAGTAACAGAAGAGCAGAAGATAAAATGGAAGGGAAGAAAACAATAGGAACATCGATTACATCAAGGAAACACCACAAGAAACAACAGTGAAACATCACTACAGACGCTGCAGTCCGTGGAAGCACAAGGGAATACTGCGGACAACTCGACATCCACACTCGCCAAGCCAGATGAGGTGGCTCAAGGCCTTCGGAGACCCCGATTACCAAAGCTCAGCGAAGAATAAACAGCCTGAACAGCCCGTTATCTACTAAGGAAGCCAAATTCATAGTTAAAGCTTTCCCATAAAGAAACTTCAGGTCCAGATGATCTTTAGCGGTAAGCTCTATTAGATGCTTAGAGAATAATATCAATTCTACACTCTTCTAGAATACAGAAAAGTAATGTAGAAGAACATTAGAAGTATACAGAAATACTTTCAAACGGTGGTTTGAGCCCCAGACCTGGCAGCTTGAAAATCATGCCAGATGCTTGTGCATCCATGCCAAAAATTCCAAAGGGAGAATGAAGAAGAAAGGATCCCGATGTGGCCAGTCCCCCTGGGGATGATTTCTCACTTTCCCTCTTTTTTTAAAAAAAAGAATTATTTATTTATTTTATTTTATTTGTTATTATTATTTTTTAAAATTTGACCAGAGAGAGAAAGAGAGAAAGGGGAAGCAAGCAAGCAAGCCACCAGGCCTAGGACTCGAACTGCAGTCAGCCATATGGGAATCTAGCACCTTTAACCACCATGCCACACCATTTTCCCTCTCTTAATGGTTAAAAACGGAATGATTTCTCCCTGATTGGGAACAAGCCACTGGAAGTCCTCACCAGTACAAGATGAAACAGAAAAGAAGGCACACAGATTAAACAAGATGAACTAAAATAGTCTTTATTCTAAGATGATATAACTGTCAACATAAAAAAATGCCAATGAGTTTACCCAAAAAAGTCTTGGAGGCTGGCTCTGTGGCACAGCGGTAATGTGCTGCTCAAAGTCAGATCTGAGTCCAGCCAGCGGCATGGTAGTTAAGGAAGCTGGATCCCACAAGACTGTTTGCATGGTTCAAATCCCAGACCCAGCGCTGGCAGGCAGGCAGGTGTGTGTGTGTGTGCCCAAAATCTGAAGGGGAGAATGAAGGGGAGAATGGAGGAGAAGGGACAGCAGTGTGGCCATCCCCCCTGGGGGTTGATTTCTCACTTTCTATCTCTCTGTCTCTGTGTTTCTGGTGAGCGCTCACACCCTATAGCAACCCCCCCCCCAAAAAAAAGAGTATTACTCCCCAATAAAAAGAAGCAGACATTGACATGAGATGGATGAATATCAAAAACTTTAGGCTAAACAAAAAAGTCAGACACAGAAGACTACACACTATAGGCCTCCATTGATAAAGACATTCCAGAAAAGGCAAAAGTCCCAGGGACAAAGGACAGATGAGCTGTTGCAATGGTTAGGACGAGGGGGAAGAGGATAAGGGAGAGGCAAAACAAGGTAGTTTGGGGCACTGATGAGCTGTGTTCTGCACCACGACTGTAACAGTGGTTGCGAGGCTGCAGTGGTAGCTGTCAAAACTCTTACAACAGTACAGAAAAACAGTAAGTATACTGTATAAGTTTAAAAATAACGAAAAAAATACAGCCTAACTCTCCTCTAGAAGTTCTGAGTACAAATAAGCATAAGTCTATTAAAAAGCACGATGGCTCCACATCTCAAAACCATGTTACCTAACAAGTGGCACTTAGCGGCCCAGTGGGTCTGATGCCTCCTGCACAGCACGGCGTCTCAGATCTCGCACTTAGGAGACTACGTGACACAGAGCACGGCCCCATCTGCTGGAGAGGTGACTACTCCTGCACAGAAGGGACCCAGAGGGTCCGTGTGGACCTGGGTGCACTGGACCCTCCAGCATGAGCAGGCAAATCACGCCGGGACTTTCCCTGGTCACTGGGTGAGATGCACTGGCTCTGATTTTATTAACACCACCTCACGAAGTCCTCCTGCCGTAGCTGGTTTATCTTCAAGCCTGGACCTCGGATGCTATCTTGGAGAGATGTTCACACCGGGCTCTAGAGAATTAGAAGACTTTTATCTCCCCATTTTCGATAAATCTCAGTTAGGTTTCCTCCAAGTATGTGAATATAGCAGTCCGGCACCAAGAATAAACCAAACTCCTTGGTGAAGAACAGAAAACCAGGAACAAATGCGCGATGTGAACCGTGACTGTCACTGGACTGACCACCGACCACAGAGTCTGCAGGGACGTCCTGACACCTCCTCCTGGGCACTCCTCCCTCCTTCCTGCGGGGCTCGGCGGGAGGGGAGGTTTCGTATAATAATGATCTGTGGCTATCAGGGGCAGGAAGTGCCGAGAGGAACAGGCACATAAAGTCGCTGCTGTGCTTTCCAGTTTCCTCGGCAAATGTCCCAGTCAGCGACTCAAAGCTCGACTTTCAGACGGAGGGGCTGCTGCTTTCTTGCTTCCCTGACGCTCCTGGCTGCACGCCTGAAGGGTTTTTTAAAGCACCTTAGTATGGAAGGAGAACGACTCTAGGAGCCTTTAAAATAGCACTGAATTGCCTGATTCAGAGCAAGCAAGTATTAAAATGCCAAGGACGTAAGAAATCCCCTTACCCCACCACAGGGCATCACGCACCACTGGAACACCAGGGCGGACACACCGAGCTAACCCACTGATAAAGGAGAGAGGAAACCCGAGGAAGCGGACTGAGAGATAAAGACACAGGAAAGACACATCTGACGTTTTCATGGCGAAAAAGCTACTTTTAAAAAGCTGTGCTTTAAAGCAGTGAGGACAATGAAAAGGGGACACAAGTGAGTCCTGGGCTGGGACTGGGCATCGGGGGCAGGGCAGAGTTCCAAGGAAGGGAGCTGCCATCCCCACAGACCAGCTGCCCCCACAAAAGGGACCACGCCAGTGCCACCTCCAAGACAGCTGTGTTTATCTACCTAGCAGAGCGGCCCCACTCTAGTCTGCTGTGACAATTGGAAATTTTTGAAAATGTTAAAATATCAACACAAAATGAAAAATCAAAATGTTTTTAAAAAATGATTTTATTTATTCATTCAATTATTGTAATCTGACCAGAGAGAGAGAGACAGAGAGAGAGAGAAGGAAAGTGAAAAATTAAGCCACCAGGTCCAGGACTCGAACCATAGTCAGCCATGTGGGAGTGTCCGGCACCTTAACCACACCACCTGCTGGCCCCTCAAAATGGTTTCTTTAAAAACAGGTTTCTATTTCCCAAGAAGTTGCAGAGAAAAATAAAGACAAAACAAAGTAAAATACAGAGTAAGGTCTGAGGGAGAATCACATACTTCTCTTAACGATAATTCTAACTAATGAGCAGCTGGTCTACAGCTCCTGATGTAAACAGCAAGCTTGGGACTCAGACTCGAATTCCTTTCTTAGCAAGGGAGAGTCTGTTCAACACCTCTGGACTTCAGTCCCCCCATCTGTAGGGACAGTGGATACGACTGTGTGGGGATAGGTGAGCAGTGGATTTCAGTCTCCCCATCTGTAGGGGATGGGGACACGGCTGTGTGGGGACAGACGAGCAGCACGCGGGAAGAGCCCAGGCACACGCGGGCCAGGCCTCCCCATAGTGGCATGCGTAGCCTGAACTGCACCACCACGCTGCTGGCCAGGATCCGAGTCCCTCCTTAAACTACTGCTCCCAGGTCTTGCTGAGCCAGGACTGAACCTTCTCCAGCGTCCCCTGACGCTGGAGAAAGACGCCTTCCTTCGCCCACCCTACACTCCTCTCCGGGTTCAGGTCAGCTTTTCTGTTTCCTTTCCCTCTCTGACAGGCCTCTCTGGCTGACTGGTTAAGCCTCACTCTCCCTCCAACCCGCTCCTTTGGATAACGCTGGTTTAGTCTATCTGAACGTTCCCGAGCTCTGCTGGAGAGCTCCTTCTGTCCTTCAGTAAAGCTCAGTTTCTTCACAACTTCTCTTCAAGACATACATGCTGGGTCCCTGAGCACGGATACACCAGGCTCCGCACTAGGCTAGAGAAATGAAAAGAAAAAAACGACAGCTCCCCAAAGAGACACAAACCAGTCCTTTCCTGCTGCAGTTACAGGGACTCTGCTAGCACCATGGATTACTCTCAGGAAGATTTAGTTACGGGGAGGACTCAGCGCCTTCCCTTACGAACACTCCAGAGCCCTGTGGCTCTTCGCCGGAGGTGTACACACTTCCGAGGAAGATGGCACGCCGGCCCGAGGGACCTGTTTACATCATTTGGGTAACAGTTACTTTTCTTCTTTTTTTAAAAAATATTCGATCACTATACATCATTTGGCTTAATACAATTACTTTTGTTTTAGGCTCTTTAGATAATTTCTATTTTCTCAGGTATCATTTTTTAAATGCATACATTTCTTCTGCGGCAAAAGGCAGAGCAAAAACACAGTGACTGCTGGGATCCAAGACACCTTCTCAGCAAGGGCCCTGCCGGCACGTCTGCTGGAGCTCCCGGCTGGCGGCTGGGGCGCACACACGATCTGCTCCCCCACCGCTCCCCCACCGTATACGAGATGGCTTCACATGTGTGCTGCCCACACAGCGGAGGCCATCACCGCCTTATGCACAGGAGGATCCGCCCACTCGGGTCTTGTCATTTGCCATCCTGAGGGCAGTGTCATACACACTCACCTGTGACCTGTTTGTCTGGAAGAGAAGGGATTGGAATGGCTGAGCCAAACTTAACCAGGAGACGCTCGTACAGCCAGTCAAAGTGCTTATACCTGTGGTTCACAGATCGGTTAGTGTTCTGCGAAGGAAGGAAAAGGGAAGAAGAGTTACCAATGCCAGCTACTGAGGTTGAAGACAAGAACCAGCTGTACCCAGTGACGCAGGCACGACTCTGCTCCCCAGAACTGGGTACTTACAGTCGGCGTCAGCTGATACTCAATGTAGCTCTTCAGACCGTACATTTTGGAGCCTTTCCTGGGATCTGCTACCACACAGTCAAATGTAGAGGTAGGATAAACCCACATGGGGCCATAATCTCCGACCTGTGCAAAGTTCCGGGAAGAGTTAACTTTGTTATGGAAAAAGTAAATGCAATTGATATAAATCAGCAAACAGCTCTTTCCAGATCGACAAGCCCTTTGGCGGGTCATTCTTGTTCCTCTATGAGAGGTTACATAAGTGGTCTCTGTTCTTGCTGGATACCCTACTTGCCAGGACGAACCCTCCTGCCCCCACCTGGGCAGCTCCACCCACGGATAGGAGCCACCCCTTCCTGTCCTGCAACAGGCACTGGTGGGAACGCAGACTCCCTCGTCCAGCTGTCTCGTGGTAAGTTTTTAATTTTCATCTACCACAGTCTGAGAGTTTTGTGAAATATAAAAATTGTACATTTGGATTTCTTTTCTCTATTTTTAAGAGAGATTTTCGCTATAGGGCATGTGCATTTGTCAGACAGACAGCGAGACAAAAAGAGAGAAATCACATGCCACAATCCCTTCTCATCCATTCTCCTCTTGGGATTTTGGGCACACATGCCCATGTGCCCAGTATGAGTTTTAAACTGTCAGGTCTGGAACTCAAATCATGGTCAACTATGTAGAAGTCCAGCAATGTAACCATTATGCCATGTGCTAGTCCCATATTTGGATTTCTTAACATCAAACTGCCATCCAATTATTAAACGTTCTCTTCTTCTGTATCGATCTCCTGGTGGGTTGGTAATGAGCACTTTTCAGATGGGCAGCTAGACTGTGGCCATACTTCTGAGAATGGACATGGCTAATCTGACTGTTCAGAGCCTGGGAGTCGCTGTTTTAGGAGCAGTAATGGATACAGTGCCTCAAAAGCAAGCACTGGGCTAGTGGTCGTCTGGGGACTGCCAGTGCCTCAGCACCGCAGGTGGCTCACTTCCTGTCCCCAGGCATGTTATGCCCACCTGGCTAGACCTGCCCACAGAAAGCTGCAAGCAGCAGGCTCCAGTCTTTTCATTGCTCTTACTCTCTGTGACTAGGAGAAGTTCAGAAGTTCAGGTGAGGCTTATGAGGCCTATACTAGATTACTAAGGTTTTAACTGGGGCAGAGGAGGCTGAGGAATGAGGAGGAGGAGCCAGTTAAGTCCTATGTGGGACTCCAGAGATGTTTGGGGCCTGTGGATCATTTGTCCTAGGCCCTGCTAAGTGACAGAGTTCTGGTCTGAGTTAAAACTGCACCCAAGGCCCTGGAGGCAGCTGCAGAGAAGGCCAGATCACAGGGTGCACGTGCAGCTACTGGGATCACTCCCTGGGTCACCAATTGTCCCAGCAGGGGTCTGGATCATTCATTTCCTAGGGTTTGATCACGATTTTGGATCGTAACCATCCAGACTGTAGGATGGTGGACATTATCAAAGACATACTTAAAGCAATAAGAGTCCTTGCTATACTGAGACTATGCTATCTTCCTGAATTGAAATTTAAAAATCTAATTATAAAAATAACCCAGAAATAAGGCGAAAAAACAAGCATGTGGTCTGTGAATGGAAATACTATTTCTAGGAAAGATATTCATCCAGAGGTTCACGGAGAAGTGAAAGTGAGAATTTTCTAAAGTGGGTTTTAATTGTACATTAGAAACGTGCAGGAGGCGAGTGAAAAGGAAATGAGGAAAACCACGTGAAACAGACTCAAGGAGAAAGAGATTCATTTAGGCTGAGGTCTCAGAGGCAAGGCCAGAGAGAGGTAAGAGGAAAACATGTCTGCAGAGCCCTGATTCTTTTTCAACCTGGAAGAGAGAAGGAATAGGGAGGGGCATGAAAGTCTAGAGGTTATTAAGTCAGGAAGGTGACCCAGGACCAGAGATGTTTAAAAAAGGGCAAAAGAGAAGGTCTCTGAGCACAGGTCTCTACGAAGCCTCCAGAGGAAACCTACCTTAGGGAAATCCTAACGCTACAGAGCAGGAGTTTAAAACGTAACCCAGTGGAGGGTCCCCAGTGACAAGGACCAACAGAGGCAACCATGACTGGCTGGGGCCCAATTCCCATGGGGCCATGTTTATGAGCGGTGGGATTACTACGTCTGTAAAGCAAGAACCAGGTCTCTGCTTTCTCATGACCCCTGTATTCCTCAGCTTCCTTCTTCTGTTCCACACACAGGGCTGCCCACTGGGTACATGGGCCCAGTTCTCCCTAAAATGAGATGGCTAGGACCCCACTGTCATGATCGTGAAAGTCCTCTTTAAGAATCAGAGGGGCAGGGTTATAGATTCTTAATTCTGTGGAGTTTTAAATTTAACAAGAATAATAATACATGGTGTTTTTCTTTAAGTCTGGAAAACAAACAAACAAACAAAAATAATCCCTAATGTAACTACTCAGAAGATAATTACATAAAACTTGCTTTGTGAGAAATTGGATAAAAGGATCTTTTGGGTATAGCCTCTGTGGCTGGAGGTTTCCAGAATTTCAAGCTTTTAAAAGATGTGGGAATAAGAGTTTAAAAAACCCAGTATCGGGACCAGCAGTTAGCGTAATGACTATGTCGCTGGACTCCCACGTAGTCGACCGTGGTTCAAGTCCTGGACCCAGAGGCTTAAACTCACACTGGGTGCGTGTGCGTGCATGCCCAGGATCCCGAGAGGAGAATGGAGGAGAAGGGATTGCGGTGTGGCCATCCCCCCGGGGGGTGATTTCTCGCTTTCTGTCTCTCTGTTTCTGTCTGGCGAGTGCAGGCGCCCTATAGCAAAATAAAAACAAAAACAAAACCAAAAATACCCAGTATCACTCCTACAATTTTATCAAGTCTCCCAAGACCCAAACATTACAGACTAGACCAGCTGTTTCCTCATTCTCATCTGAGTTCACAGGGGTCTCACATGCTAGGTCTCCTCCCGTCATATGACAGTGTAACTAAGTTGGTGGGGTCAGAAGACAGTCACAGTCCTCTATTCCAGAATTTCGTGTGGGAATATACAGCTAGATTTCATCCAGACAGAAAATCCATCTGCAATCAAAACATGGAATGAAACCAAAGAACTGGGGTTGTGCCCCGTAATAATCAAGTTATTCTAAGACTGACATTATTAATGATGCTATTAACTCCTACTTTGATTTGCCAGCTCTTTGTCTTGGTCTGACAGCTGGTTTACTGGAAAAACACTAATTATTACCAACATATTGGAAAAGGTCCCTTATTCTGCTAGCATGTCTATACTTTGTCAGGGTAGAGAACTAAATAATGAATTAAGTTTAAGAGTGAAACATAAAGGGTGGTAGAAGAACAGCAGGTAAAATACACTTTGAGACACTTCAGAAAAGAAAAATTATTAAAAGAATATACATATATATTATGAGAGCTGGCTCAGGACGAGTAGTGTGAAATGGTTGAAGAGTATCTAAAGGATACAACAGGCATTAGTCCCTGCTACTTCAGTACTGCTAAAATACTAGCAACACTATCAGTGATACATGTGTTTAAGTTCGTTTTCCAAAAGACCACGGGCTCTCTGCTTTAAGGCATGGTAAAAGAGCTTAGTTAGAAACAGAGCAAACAAAGACAAGCAAACTTACAATGATGGGAATTTTCTCTTTGGGTTTTGCTAGCTGCTTGGCCAACAGATATTGTTCCATTCCAGGTTTGGCAAATCCAGGAAATCTAATAGAAAAGACGGATGCTCGTGAGTCTTTCATTGTAAGAATTTCACAGCTGTAACCCACACTTACCTAATACACAGTTCCGACCTCGTTCTGCCCTTCAGGTGCTCTAGAACTAGGAAACTGGTAAATGAAACCTAACGTATCAGATTGTTCAACCGCCAACTAGCCATTTAATTAGCGCCTGCTCTGGAGAACTGTTCACCCGGAAAGGATGGTGCGTGGGGGCTCTCGGTCTGCGTAACTCGGTCTGAAGGGTTATCACTCAGCAGAGTGCAGGGCGGACTGGCAGGACGTCTTCCTGGGGCAGTGAAGTGGTGAGCTCACACGGACCCCGGCCACATGCCAGCACTGCATCCTCCGAACTAAAGCTGCCTGACCGCCCACTCACTCCGGGGCACAACTGTCCTGAGGAAGCTGCCCTGTCCATCAGCACTCATGCCACTTCCTTTTAGAAGTGCCTTCAGACCCAGCTTATGAGACAATGGGAAACAAGTCTCCTTAGTAAGGAGTAAATAAATGTGGCTACTTTGGAGGGAGGTCCCTTAGGACTCACCAGAATAATAATCTTGACTATTTCCAGAAATCAAATCTATGTCCAAAGCAAATTTCTAAAACTGGAGAACAGCTAGAATAAATGCCTAACTATTTGAAGTGCTATTTCTGAAAAAGACAAGACTAATTTGGGTTTTCGGTTCCTTTTTTTTTTTTTTCGTGAATAGGAAAAAACAAACAAACAAACAAACAAAAAAAACAAAAAACAAAACACCTCAGAAGGCAAAATACCTAAAGTGGGAAAAGATGTTACTTTCAGCTACAAACTTGCAGTTTCAGTCACATACCGTACCAAAGGCCACCATGAGGCGATCAGGGCCCGTGTTTTCCTCCACTCTCAACTGACCTCCCTGCACGCCCTAAAACCCAGTGCACGTAAGAGAGCACAAAGGGGCGTCTGGGGCTGCGTGGCTCTGATCTGAACTCCAACACCAGGGAGTCAATCTCTCCATGTGAAGAACGGGAACTTGTAAGGTTATCACCTTAGGTGATGGACTTAAAATAAGAAGGTTTATGTACAACCAGCCCATGGCGTGGTGGTTAAGCCCTGCGCAGAGAAGACTGGAACCCACGTGGCTGACTGGAGCTAGCGCGAACAATGTGCTGGGCATGTGTGCTTAAGTGCCCTGGATCCTAATGGGATGTAGAAATGGAGGAGAAAGGATTGTGGCATAACCATATCCCTCTAACAAAACAAAAACAAAACGAAACAGATTTATGGCGGCGGGGGACAGCAGATAGCACAGAGGTTAAGGAACTGGATCCCAGATGGCTGACTGCAGTTGGAGTCCTGGACCTGGTGGCTTAAAAATCAACCTGGGTGCATGTGTGTGTGTGCCCAAAATCCTGAGAGGAGGAGGAGTCATTGTGACACGACCATCCCCATTAGGGGAGGATTTCTCACTTTTCCTCTCTCTGTCTCACTCTGGTGAGCACACACATATTATGTTTGGCAAAAATGAGAAAAAAAAAAAAAGCTTCATGTAAAGAGTCCACAACATGCTCACTAAATTTCAGTTACTGGCAACTGCACTAGCACCTCTTTGAAAGCATTCCTTGCAGCCTCAGGCAGCTTTCTCTGTGCTTTCTGGGCCCTCTGGACATGTATTTGCTATATTATCTGTCACACTTAATTGCCACTATCCCTTTACACATTACAGCAGATTAAACGTACCTTAGAGAAAGTATCTGTATTTCCAGGGTCTAGAGGAGTCCGGGAGCATACCCAAAGCCTAATGAAAATTAACGGGTGAACCCAGAGCGCCTTCCTTCGAAAGCCTGTGCTTCACACAGAGCGAGAGCTCCTTCGCCAGACTGTAAACGTCTGAGTGCAGAAGCCACATTTCACACTTTTCTGGTGTTCTTATGGCTCACAGCAAAAGTACAGGGCTGACTACACATACTTAGTTAACAGGTGCTGAAGAGCAGTGGAATTTATTAATGATTGGGTTAATGATTTGGGCTTCATCAAGATGGGTCCTCTAATGGTTCAGCTCATTTAAATTTCTGATTCCCTTTTCTAGTTTAAGGCTTATGCTCCGTGACTGGAATACAATCATATAAAATGGATTAATTGCTGAAAATGTTAAAGCTTTTAAAATAACTGTTCCACGTTTCAGCAACTCAACTTGTACATTAGTCCAGTTACACAAAATACATAGAAATTTTAATTGTTCTCAGCACCACAGGGAGACAGAGTAGCCTCAGAGGCATAGTTCAAATGAGGATTCCTCTCATTTGGTTTCAATGTGGACTGATATTCCAGAGCAGAAAGAATACGCAATCAAAGTCAACCTCTTAGCTTTAGAAGTAAAGAAAATGAGGTTCGACTGGGTCCCTCTCGCCCATGATCACACAGCACATCAGAGCATGTGTGTAGCCGGGGACGGCAAGGAAAGGAGCCAGACACTTGCTCGCTGGCTATGAAAACTGGGCTTCTCGTTTTACTCAGGTTCTGCCTCTGCATTTTCAAAATAGGCCCAAGAAGTAAATTATATTTAGACGGGTTTAAATATATTTTGTATTTAGCTTTAAGAAACAAGTGAGAGAAATATGTAACACTGCTGATATACTGAGAACTCCAAATTCGACTCTAACAGATATATTCACATCATAAATTTGTAAGTTTAGTGATCAAGATATGGCACTGTCAGTCATACTTGCTATCTTAAAATGCTGTGTACGAGAGAAAAAATTGTTTCATCATTTACCTCGACTGGAGTGAGCGGCTATCGGGTCATCACAGGTATTTTCCGTTTTGCCATTCACAGTTCTAGGAAAGTGCTCCCAGCCCCACTGAGCTTTGAGGCCTGACTCTTCCCTTTGCCCAGAGATAACTGGCTACTGAGTCAGACATGTCCTCTCCCAGGACTCCACGGCCTGTAACAATGGACGACTTATGGACTACTCCTAGGAATGAGCCTTCCTAGCGCCGTGGGACCTGCCAATTTTGTGGCCTACACATGCATTCAGAAATGTTTTTTGGCCAACAGAGGGGAATGAGGACAGAAGTCATTCTCAAAATCAAATAAAGGGTACCCCTGTACCTGATCACCCCGAGAAAGGCGTCTTTTGCTTCCTCTCTGGGTCTAGGTTGCACATATTCATGCTTAGCAATAAACCCATTATTAGAAAACATATATAATATGATCAATAATGACTAATTTTTTATATATACCACTGAGCATGAAAATACAAAATGGAAGGACTTGGATAGAGAGGCATTAAAAGTGTGATGTCAGAAGATACAACAGCGCCACAGCAATAACGCAACTTTCTGCAATGGACCTTCCACGTGGGAAGGTCCTGGGTTCACATCCTGAGGCCTCCTTGCACACCACAGGTGCACATGTGCACGCATGCCTGTGGTCTGGGCTAGCTGAGGCTGGGGATAGACTGTGACGTGAAGACCCCGTTGGGATGCCTATTTCTCTCTTCTTGTTTCTTTTTCTCATAGAAGAAATTTAAAAAAAGAAAAAAAAACCCAAAACTCACTTAATCACCTAAAGCTACTTAAATATATTATGGAGGACTTGAGGAACTTGTTTAACTAGTTCTAGACCTGGGTCTTGATAGTTAGATAGATGTTAAATATTACATCTTCAATTTTTTTCCAAGCATAGATGATCATTCTTTGGTATCTCTGAATTACTGAGGCATTGAGAAAAATTATTAGTCATTTAAAGAAATAAACCATTTTGAGTAAAAATGCTGGAAAAAGAGTACTTGAAGATTCTCAGGAAAGTGATAAAGTAAACTTCCTTCAAGCTTCATTGGTACAAACTACAGACTCACCTAGAACTCTACCAAAAATCCCACTGTGCTACATCTACGTCCATTACTTCCCACGTTTTCCTGTAAGCAGCACATCTAGAAGTACTATTTACAACATTGTTTCTTTTTAAGTAGAAAAGAAATGTAAGCGAAAACAAAGGTCTCTAACACATTAGGCACAGTGGCTGAGCGTACACATCTAGAAGCTGAGGGACTGAAATCCTGAGAGCGCAGCACCTGTGCGAGCCTGGGCGTTACTAACCTCTCTGGGCTTGTTTTCCCAGATACGTACCAAAGAGGGACGTGAAGCTGAGAATGTGTATGAACCCTTTCCACAGTGCTTGCACAAGGCAAGTGACAAAATAGTAAAGCACCTAAAATGAGTTTTGTCCTAATACTGTTATTTTTAGCTTTTAGGGTTTTACTGTGACATGAGCAATAATAAAACCTAAATATATCACAGAATTGATAAAGTAACTTAAACTATTTGGCAGATAGTCAAATAGTGTACGGCTGACTCCATGGCACAGCAGGAAAGCACTGATCAAGAGAAGCCAGATCCTGTGTGGCCACTGCAGTTGGAATCCTTGGCCTGGTGAGCTTTAAATACACTGGTGTGAGTGCCGTGTGCAGGAGCCAACAGCCTGGAGGACTGGAAGGGGCGTCGCAGCATGGCCAGCACCACAGAGAGTGTTATTCTCTGCCTCTCACTCTCACATGTGCATTTTGTGCTAAAGCATGAATAAAGAAAATAAATATAGTCTAATTATTTTTAAAAATCATCAAATGATATAAATATTTCACTTATTAACCTTGTAAAATGATAATTAAAAAAAAATGCTTTCAGTCTAGCAGGTAGTGCGGAGGTTACAACACTGGATCCCACATGGCCAATGATACTGTTCGAATACCGGAACCAGTGCCTTGAAAATCATGCTGGGCACATGTGTGTGCATGCCTGTAATCTTGAGAGGAGACTAGAGTAGAAGGGATTGCGGTGTGGTCATCCCCCCGGGGGTGGGGTGGGTGTGATTTCTTATCTTCCTTTCTCTTTTTTTTTTTTGGAGACAGGTTTTTGCTATAGGGTGTGTGTGCTCGCCAGACAGACAGAGAGAGACAGACAGAAAGCGAGAAATCACGCCCAGGGGGGATGGCCATGCCACAATCCCTTTTCCTCTTGGGATCTTGGGCACGCATGCACACGCGCCCGGTGTGAATTTTAAGCCACCGGGTCCAGGATGCGAACCGTGGTCGACTACATGGGAGTCCAGTGACATAGCCATTACGCTAACTGCTGGTCCCTTATCTTCCTCTCTCAAGGTCTCTCTCTGGTGGGCACACACACCCTATAGTAAAAAAAAAAGTAAAATAAATTTGTAAAACTTTCGAGCTAAAATGCAAATAAAAATGACCAAATTGGGACCAGCAAATGGCAGAGTAGTTATGTCACTGAACTCCCACATGGCTGACCGTGGCTCAGGTCCCAGATCAGTGGCTTCAAACTCATGTCAGGCATGTATGCGTGCATGCCCAAAATCCTCAGAGGAAAACGTTGAAGAAGGGTCTGCGATGTGGCCACCCCCTGGCGGGGGTGATTTCTCACTTTCTGTCTCTTTCTGGCAAGTGCATGCACTCTATAGCAAAAATCTCTCAAAAAAATAAATAAAAATAAAAAGACCAGTTCACACTCCAAACTTAGAAGATCACCATAAAGAGAAAAAGTCAACCTCCTCTCTGTAACTCATCTATCTTCCTGCCCATCAGTTCCAGTGTCCCCGAATCCCCTGTCCACTTACTTGTTAAGTGGCAGCTTCATGGAGGAGGCACCAGCACGAGTATTTCCGCGCTGGATTCCTCCCGCCTCTGCTGATTCTGAGTCTTTAAAGTACGGAGAAGAGGATTTGGGGTCGTCCCAGTCTTCATCCCAGTCGTCATCATCGCCAGTTGCTAGAGGGTAGAAAGAGAAAGTCATTAGTAAAGAAAGCCAATATAAAAGTGAAATGACTTAATTTTCTAATAAAAATTAGTGACTGGGCTAATTATTTAAAAACAAAGACCAAGAAAAAGGTATAGTAGAGGGTATAATGCAGACAATAAGAATATAGTCTCTGTAATAGATAGTTTTTAAGCTTGAATTAAAGATTCGGACTTTTAAAAACAACTTAAAGAGGGCTGTCAGATTAATTAATTTTTTTTTTTTTGGAGAGATTTTCACTTTAGGGCGCGTGCGCTCACCAGACAGACAGAGAGAGACATAGAGACAGAAAGCGAGAAATCACCCCCCAGGGGGGATGGTCACGCCGCAATCCCTTCTCCTCCATTCTCCTCTCGGGATCTTGGGCACGCACGCACACGCGCCCGGCGTGAGTTTTAAGCCACCGGGTCCGGGACACGAACCGCGGTCGACTACGTGGGAGTCCAGCGACATAGCCATTACGCTAACTGCTGGTTCCCAGATTAATTAATTTTTGACAAGGGCACCAAGAAGACACATTGAGCCAAGGCCAAGAACCATTCAATAAACAGTGCCAGGAAAACCAGATCTCCACCTGCAAAAGAACGAACCCTTACCTTATACCACATATGAAAATAAACTAAAAATGGATCTTGACCTAATTATAAGACCCAGAGTTATAAAACTTGTACAAGACAACAGAGGAAAAGCACCTTGACACTGGCTCTGGCAATGAATTTTTAGATACCACATCAAAAGTCTAGGAACAAAAGCAAAAATAACAAACAGGACTACTAAAGAGTTGCTACGCAATACAGGAAACAATCAACAAAATTAAAAGGCAGACTACAGGCTGGTAGGAAACATTTGCGAATCATTTTTCTGATAAGCTGTTAATATCCAAAATATGTAAGAAACTTACATGACTCAACTGTAAAAACAAAACAAAAAAGAAAAATAAATAACTTGATTTAAAAATGAGCAAAGGACTGGAATAGACATTTTTTGTTGTCCCAAAGAAGATATAAAAATGTGAACAGGTAGATTATTGACTACAACAGTCAAGAGATAACAAGTGCCGGTGATAATCTGGAGAAAAGGAGACCTTTGTACATTTTTGATGGGAACGTAAATTGGTATAGCCATTACAGAAAATAGTAGGGAAGTTCCTCAAGAAAACAAAAACCAGAACTACCATTATGACCCAGCAACCCTTCTTCTGGGTATATATAGAAAGTAAATGAAGTGAGTATGTCAAAGAGATGTCTGCACTCCCATGTTCACTGGAGGCGCATGTATGACAACACGAATGGAGCTGGAGGACAACATGCTAAGTGAAATAGGTCAGATACAGGAAGAAAAACACTGCGTGATCTCATGTGTCTGTGGAGTCTTTAAAACGCATCAAACTAGAGAAGTGGAGAGTAGAACAGTGGCTACCAGGTGTGGAAGAGGAGGAAATGGGAAGACGTGGGTGACAGGGTGACAGAGGGCAGTGAGGGGGACGAGTGGGCCCAGTGAGCTGATGTACGGCAAGAGGACTGAGGCTAACACACTGTACTGTATACTGGAAATGGCTCACAGAGTGGATTGTAGGCGCTCCTACCAAGCACACAGGTAGGCAACTGCCCGGCTGCGAGGATGATTCCACTACGTCTATGTCAATATAATACCAGTTGTAAACGTGAATATGGAAAATTATAGAAAGGGCTGTCAGTACAAGTAACAGCTGATAAACGCAGACTATAAAAATGTTAAGCGGTATACAAGACAAGGCCTTCTAGGCCTTCTATACACTGAAAAATATACCAATAAGCAGAACACATACCCTTTAAGTAAAGACCGAGGAGGACCAAGGGATGATAGACCTTGAAAACCAACTGCTTAGCATCAACAATAAAGTGAGGGAAGGGCAATGAAGGGCACAGATAAGAAGAGGCTGGGGTGTGAG